AATACACCAAGATTGTAAGCTCAGGGCTGAATGGCGTCCAGGTAAGGAGGTTTCTTTGAACGCAGTTGTGCTGCCTGAGAAATCATAGCAAAAATGAAACAAAAGGGGAATATTGGCCTATTCTCATCTGACCTTTCGACAGAGGAAGAGATTGAGTGACTGACACAGATGGTTAACGGGAAGAAAAAGAGCAGCTCAAATGTTGACAAATGATGAAGATGTGACTGTAAATATGATGAAGTGACAGCAAAATGCAGCACCTAACACTGTGGTGAAAAGAATGAAGGCATGTCTGCTCTCCCTTTGCTGGTGCTCAGTGCCAGAGTATTGTATGTGCACTGTAGCGTATCAAGGGACCTTACCATGTTATTCTGAGAGCGAAACAGATGTTGGATTCAAATAGTCTGGGTTCTGAAGTGAATCTGCAAAACAGTACCCTGCGATCTTTCGAAACGACCCCATATCACCCTTGAAAACTAGTGCTGATGCCTCAGCAGGATCTCTGAATTCAACAAAGACTTAAACTTAACACTGTAGTGTGTCATCATGGTTTTTTCCATCAGTAGCCTACAGGCCTAAAACCGAATTTCCTAGGTTAGGTAGGCTACAGCTCTAAGAAAAAGAAAAACACAATGCAGTTGGTAAAGGTAGAGGAGATGTGATGTGGTTATAACTGTACAAATCACTAGTAACTGTGGTCAGCTGGTGAGCAGTGTAAAAAGTGTAAAACTGTAGAAGTATCCAGTCAGTAGTGTTTTCAATAGCGGCTGCTATTAGCAAGTTATATTTTCCTGGTGGGTAAACTTCTCATCCATAAGCCAGGACAGACAGCTAGTCAAAAGATGGGATTTGCTGAGGTAAGACATTAACAGAGCCACCAAGATAGCACACACAGAGTTGAGATAGCAGGTTTAGGTTTAGGGCTAGCAATTTTGGAGGGTTTTTTTAAACCCACTAGCTGAGCGACGTAGCCAGTGCTGTTCAAACAGTATTTAGCTCGGCTAGTTTACCTAAAGAGGGAACTTTAGGTGCTAGCTACACAGCTTTTGTGGTGAAGAAGCTCACAGACCTGGCTCGTCTTGACACAGGTTGCTGCTAACCCTACCTCCAACTGACACACAGGCTACATGTATGAAAGCAGGGCTGCTCAAACCTCCAAACATGGGATTTGTAGTACTCACATGAATCAGTTAGACACGTCGTCCAATGTTTCTGTGAACAATGTAATAGCAGTCCAGAGCACACGGGCGTCTAATTTGCGCGGAGAAAGCAGTCCTCCTCCTCCTCGCTGGCTTTCACTCGGGCAGCAGCGGCTAAGCCATCAAACCTTTTCATTGTCGAGCGTCCGATGTCGTTGAAAATTTTGCGCAGATCGCCTGTGGAAAGAAAAAGGTAAAAGAGAAACACCAGTGTACCGTGTGCTTGTTGATGTCAATTCTAGTAACTGGAAAGCCCCCTTGCTCCGACTTCCTCAGGAAATCCCCGTCATGAAAAAAAAAAAACGTAGTAAATGGACGCCGTGTCCGTGGCCGCTAGGTGGCGGAGTCCAGCACGTGGTATAGACACCGTGTTTAAAAAAGGCCCACAATCATGAGTCATTCCCTGAAAAGAGTGCCTTTGAGTCCACAGCATTTGATGGTATGTATAAGAAACAAGAAAAAGTGTCAATAAGTGTTTTTTGAGAATTTACATATATTAATTCAACGTTCAAATATGGGACGGAACTTATAAAAAAATAATGTACGGTCACATAAAGCCACGTAATGAAGTGTCAGTGACATAATTTAAGGTTTTTGGGGGAGCTAAATCCAAAAGCTGGTAAATTTCGTTTTTTATTCAACATTAATAATTTGTTGTTTTCCCCCCATCTTTGACAAGGTCTGACACGCATAAAACATGTCCACCCCGTCACACAATCCTGCAAGAAAAATGCTATGCTGGTCACCAGCAAATCCAGCATGATGTTGTGTTTAGGGTGCTGGTGTGCTTATCAGCAAATGTGTAAGTTATTAGTCAGACCCCAGCAAAGTCAGCGTATGTTTGTAATTTGGATGCTTGTATGCTGGTCAACCAGCATGGCCATATCGGGTGACCAGATAAACTAACACCAAACCTGCACAGACCAGCTTTAACCAGCATGGACTTCATGCTGGTCTGTGGTGTTTTGTAATCAGGGAACATAAAGAAAACAGCTTTTCATGATTTTCATGATTTTAGAGAAATGTCATGTTTACTGTTAAAAACTGACGTGAGGTGGTCTTACCTTGGAGTGCAGCAGCCAGCCTAGCCTGAACTATGCCACCCACATAGTCACAATTTCAGAATGATGGGACTGTACTTCTCTGTGTTATGTTGCACTGAGAAGAAAAAAGCAAGAGTCACGTACAACTAAAACTATGGTGAATAAGTGTGACATTAAAAATATTAATTAGCACGTGCATTTCGCACCGGTCTGGTGGAATAACTCAAAAATAAAATTCTAGCTGCTCGATTCCAGAAATTTTGGAGTCGACTCTGAATCCAGTTCCAAGTGGTGCGAATCGTTGTAGTCGATTCCAGGAATTAAATCCACACAATATTTTTTTCGATTCTCGATTCAAAAATAAAGACATGGGCAAGGAGAACGTTGTTTGTTTATTTTATTATTATTTTTTTTTTACAAATTGTACATTTTACTTTGTTTTGTTGAAGGGTGTTTTTAGGCTGTGTAGAAACAGCGTCGGTAGAATATCTCACTGAACTGTGCGAGCAAACGTTACCGTCTCTGTGACGAATCGAGTCCGAAGCTTTGGATTCGACTCCCGATTCCTAAATTCCTGGAATCGGAGTATCGACTCTTTCTGGGATCGACCCCCAGCCCTACTGATGAATGTTTCCCAGATCGTCTACATGTATAACCTCGGTTAGTTTAACTGCATGCGAGGCGACCCTAAATGTTCATAACAATATCAAAATAATGACAGAACTGGCTGTAATACCCCAAATTTCAGAATCAGAAGTATTAAGGGAACGCTTTTTCAGTCCAGGGTACATGCCATTTCTGTTTAGTAACTTAATTTTAGCTTTAAAAATGTAATTGTTTTAATCTCGTCAGTTTACTTTTTGGTAATCTAGTAAATTCCGTAAGAATTTATTTTGAAATGTAGAGGTCATAAAAACAGGCATGGCTTTATGATAAAACTGAAAGTGATTATGGAGAATCACAGCACCTGTCAGACCAGTTTCTAACAGACTTTGGGAAAACAAATGACGACGTGGACTCGCTTTTCCAGCAGTTACTCAGTGAGGCTTTACCCTCTGCAGCTCCACTGAAAGTTGTAAATCCAGCCCTGAACACTGCATAAAGACACTCATACAGCCGAACGACACTTCTGCTGTACAAAGCAGTTTATCCACGCGTATTTCAGTTTCAAACAGTTAACTGGACCTCACTGACCCACTTTCCGAATAATACTTGTATGCGGCACAGTACCTTTTACAAGTAATAATAATACTTAGTAAAACTTTTACATATATGAAGAAACCTTTTACTGATCTGACTCAGGATCATGAAACTTATATTTGCATGCTCGTTCACGTAACCAAGTTTAAGGCTACTTTCATTTCCAGATCAGAGTGTACTGTGCTCACAGCTCCCTACTTTAAACGACTGGCTGGACTTTTCGGATGAGACTGGTTTGGAACCCATTTACAATTAAAATAAAAAAAATGTATTTTTAAAATACTTTTATAAATAAATAAATAAAATGCAACCCTGTTCTCACTTATTATTAAACACATTAATAAATAAATACATAAAGGAGAATTTCGCCAATTATTCTTAATAATTAAATCGGTAAAAATGTAAACAAGGCCATACAGACAGGTTTGATGTGAAATTGTCCACAACTGTGGTGATAGGAACCAGACATCTGAAGACTTTAACGCTACTAAAGCTACCTCACAAAAAGATAACATTAAATGGTTACGAATACTTTGCTTGATGTCTGACTTTGTTTTGTAAGTTTTTAGATAAGGTTTTGGCCTAGAACATATTTTAATACACTCAGAAATCACACGTTTAAAAAAAACTCATGACACGTCACTGGTCATTTCGAATAGCCCAAAAAATGGCTGTATTTGCTTTACAGACATCGCAACCCCTGGTTCCTATCACCACTGTTACGAAGTCAGGATTCGCATCCCCCAGTTTTGGTGTTGACCAGGTGGTAAACTATTGGTATTCTGGCTAGCACAATGAATATGAAAAAAAACAAAAAAAAACAGCACTGTGACCTTTACCAAAAAATGTGAAGGTGCTCAGACCAATAACACCATGAAAAAGCTGTACAAACATCAAATAAAGCAAGGGATCACAATGTGACAGCACAGTGAAATCAAAGCAGCTCTGCGAATCTTTAAAAAAGAAAAACAACTCAAACTGAATCTTGTTAGATTAAAAGGCAGTGACGTATTTAAGAGTGTACATGATAATAGTGTACATGCTGAATATTGTGGTACATTAAAAAAAAAACCTCATAGACTGAATAAATTTCATTGGTTTATTAGGTGGCTAATGTGACAAACTGATTATATATGGGCAAAATATGTAATGGCAATAGCACACACGCATACGCATACACACACACACACACACACACACACACACACGCATGCATGCATGTGCATTCATTTAGAAAAAAGTCTCAAAATGGTCTACCCTTTGGAGGAGGTACTGGTACAGTAAGAAAATAAAAGGAGAATGGTGAAAGGAGGAAATGAACGATTTCAGGACCTACTTTCCTGCTTTTGTCCCAATATCAGTAGCTTGAGTATTATATCTGCAGTGCCTATAAGACAATATGAAACAACTTTCATTCACTGTTGCCCTCTGATCTCTCTTTTTATCTGAGTCTACACCTTCAAATTTGGGCCTTGTCTGCCAAATTATTGCCCTTGCATTAAAGACAAAGCTTAGTATATCGTTAAAAACCCAAGGGAAAAACATCCAAAATCACCTCAATACATGAGCAGTCAGCCCCAGTTAAGAAATCTCCCTTCGCAGACATAATATATATTTCTTTTGCTATAATCATATATAACTCTTACCATTTACGGAGGAAAAATTCTTGAATGGTCCATTAAGCATCTTTAAGGAATACTCCAGCGTTTTTTAACCTAATCGCAGCATATAGCTCCATCTGTAGCACACAGTTGAATACCACGGAAAATAATTTCAATATTTCTTTATACTTGTACTTTAAAAAAAAAACAAAAATTCTGTTGGCTCAAAACACACTTACAGTGAATGTCACTGGACAGTTGCTTATAGGCTTCCATTTTGGGTGTGCTGTCAACCTTTTTCTAAAGCTATTTTCACACCTAGTTTGTTTACTGAAGTCTGCACCAGAGTTTAGGTTTGCATCTTTTCTTTTGGTTTCACATTACAATGATTAAAGTGGATCAAATAATACATGTGGGATTGTTGGATTAATCAGATATTTGGCTTACAAGCTGTTACTTTCACACTTGCATTCATTAAACTATGTAACCTTCACTGGCTTATCAAAGTACAAGATCCAGATCTATCCCTCGGTTATATTCTTGATAAAATATATTATAATCCCCATAAGCATGTATGAAAATTGAGATGTTTGATGTCTACATGTATGGCAATTAGAGTAATAAAAATAAAGCCTCTATATAATCGATTGGCTTAATTATCTGTCAGTTTGTATTCAACCACGTCTCTGATATCTGGCCCAACCTATTCAACCTATACTTTCCACACTCCATGTGACAAAATCAAATGCTTTGCTATCATTTGTTCCATTTGTCCATACCGAGCAAAGTAGGTATGAAAGAGATTAGGTTAAACTCATACTACTAGACAGTTTCACTGGATTACATTGTAAAACTCTGAAGTATTCCTTTAAGGCATCACTTAACCCATTCACTTAAATCCTTCTTAAGGGAGACCCGGACCACTATATTTATAAATGGGCACAACAAAAATCAATTTAAAATCTTGCAAGGATAAAAGGAACAGTTCTGACACCTACATCTGTTTTCTCTTTTACATGATTCAACTGTTGTTGTTCTGAAATCCATCACACACGAAGTGCTGGAGCGTAAGAGAAGCTTGCATTTGCAGGGTAATTTTGACAAGCCCCAGCTGTCATGAGCTCCACAATGATGTCTGAATTACAGTACAATGTCGCTGAGGAACTGAGCAGAGCAAGACAGACTGAAAAAGTGTAGGGAAGGAAGAAGGCAGTAAATTCTTCCTCTTCACGGCTCTGCGGTTATTTGGTTCACTAGAGGAAAATCACTTGATTGCATTTGAAACACACTTCACTTTGCGAAACCAGAGGGCTGATTCCATTTCCACAGCTCTGCCAGTTCACAGACGATAATATCTTAAAATCAAGGCTGTTTGCAGAGTAATGTGGCAACGCTGGATGTTCCACCAAAAAACTGAGTGATAACCAAGACTGTTCATCCAATTTTCAAGTAAGCTGGAAAACAGGTTCGGTTGTCAAAATTCTGAACTCTTCAATATAAACCCTTTCATTACTGGAAAGATTATCATTCTCCTGAAACCACTTTTTAAGCAATAAATAGATTCATAGCTTAGCTCATGATAGAATTGCTGATAGAAGTCACTTAAAATCACAAGACATTAAATCTGATTGCTTTATAAACTGATGAACAAAAAACTTGTTTTTGGTACACTAAAGTAATTTGTGAGGGGAAAAGAGTATGAGGGAAACTGGTCAGAGAAAGTCCACTTGTGGGGAGTTAAAACAGGTGAGAATAATCAGGCAATTTCAATAAGCACCTTCTCATACAGGCCATTCAGTTTAGTGAAGCTGGGACAGTCAAGCTTTTTTCTTTTTTCCTTTTTTGACGAGATCATAAAATCCATCCATCATCCTCAATGTTTCCGAAGGTTATGTGAACTTGGTGCTTGGAGCACCACTGCCTATCTGTGTTGGCACAGACCATGTAAAGATGATCCTTATTCCTTGGTCAGACCTGGGGAGGTTTACACTTCCGTTTGGCAGGACGTGCCAGAGTCCTGGGGCTCAGCGGGGTGGAAGGAGCGGGGACAAGGACAGAGGAGTGGGAATGGTTGCTATGAAGCAGCTACGCTGGGAGCCATGGAAGCCCTGGTGTCTCTTCAGCACAGCAGTAAAATCAACTGGATTGCATTCAGGTCATTTGGTCTGGTGTGGGCATTCAAGAAGCTGAGGGGGTTTGTGTTTCTGTAGGCGTAGGTTCCTGAACAAAAGAACATACTGTTATTCCAATGACTTCTATTTCCTCTAACATCACCTAATGAAATTTTTTTGTGCGTTTCTTTTTAGTCAAAAAGAACTGCACAAATATTAAAGTACAGTAGTGTGCAAGTCAGAGACCACTCCATTTAGTTCATTTCTAGTCAAAACAAGTAAGCATAAAGCATAAACACAGAAAACTATGCAGAAGCCTCAACAACTAAATATACTTTTTTCAGTATTTAATATGTTACAACAATCCCAAACACATTCAGTGATATTGAGTTCTGGACTTTGGGGTAGCCAGTCCACTGTTCTGGGAACACTGCCAGCTTCTTTCTTTGAGTTTGCACATTTTCTTCATTTTTAATCTATTTTATTTTCGCAGTAATATCTTTCTCAGTAATATCTACACATCCTTTCTGACCCCACAGCACTGGCTTGTCTTATCACAGTGGAAGGATGGACAGAAACTTTAATAATATATATATATATATATATATTTTTTTTTTACTTTTTAACATTTTTCAGTTATTTTCCTTTCATATTCCCTTCCTTATGTGAGTGGATTAGAACCTCCTCAGAAATATCTAATGACAAATAATGTGTACTTAATGGCCGTTTTGACTGAGAATAATATAAATGAAGTGTGGTGACCTTTGCACGATACTGTTTATATATAAATATATATGAGTGTGTGTGTGTATATATATATATATATATATATATATATATATATATATATATACACACACACACACACACACACACACACACACACACATCACTGCAAAAACAGATAACAGACACCTAAGACTGTTTAAAGACTATTTATCTGTACCTCACTATCAAAGTGTTTTTCAAAGATTAAATTAAATGCCTGTCCTGAGTTCTTCACAGCTGTCCACAGATTACCTGTAATTCTTGGAATTTTTTTCTATACACATTTCCCAAAAGTTCTCAATAGAATTTAAATATGGTGATTTTGCTAGTTGTGTCATCACCTCAACTTCCTCCTCCTCAAACCACTCCCTCACTTGGCAAGTGGTATGTCATTGTCTTACCCATTATACCATTGTCTTACAATATACAGGCATTATTTTGTGGTTTTCTTCCTTTAAATAAAGAGAAGGGATAGTTCCCTTCAAACACATCAAAAACAGCTGCAACTCATGAATGGATGAAAATCATTTTGACTGTCAGCATGTAATCCTAGAAACTTTTAGCAACATGTAATCTGGAGCCTTGATATAAGACCTTCAGACCTCCTTCTGGTCCTCTGGTGGTACAGGAGTGGTGGTGCCCTCCTCAGACGACACCTCCATCTTCTCCTCCTCAGAGCTTTTCGAGCCTTCCACGCCGTGTTCAGCCTCCCACTCTTGCAGTACCTCGTCCAGGTTAAAGCGTCGCCGGTAGTTCACAAAAAAGTTTTTCACCTGGACCACTGACTTGTTGCCAATGACATCAGAAATAGCCTGGAAATCTCGCCCATATTTCCTTATAGCTGAGAAAGGGATGAAAAAAAAGAAAAATATTTAATCCAAAAAATGCTAAAATTGCTATAAACAGTATTATAACTGGCACTTGATGAAAATAGTTGACATAATGCTTATTTGACCATGTTGCCCCTAACTTGGAATAATTACAACAGAACCCTCATTAAAATATTTTTTCTCTCAAAGTGTGTAAATAATCTCCTATAGAGCTGTTGAGTTTGATTTGCGTTAAAGCTATAAGTACTTAACGTCTTTTAAAATCCTAACAGGTAAAGTCTGTAAAAAACAGCTGCAACTGTGGCACTCAAAATCCCAGATCTCACTGTTATTACATGATACAAATAAAATTAAACTGGACCTGAAGCTTTTATGTAAGAACTGTAGGAAAAACGGAAATTAGGGATGAATATGAGGATGAAATGCAGATATCACAGTCAGAACTGGAGAAAATTTTTTACTGCAAACTGGTTGCTGACAGTGATTATTAGCCTGAACTCAAAAAGCAGCTCCTCTTCTCTCTCTTCACCTTTGCTTCTCTGCTAGCTCTCTGACTAGTTCTGTTACATCACTGACAATCTCATACAGGTCTTGTGAAAGGTTTGAGTTGTAAAACAACAACAAACAAACATATGAAAAAATCAGAGGGTCTCCGATCACTTCAGAGCTCTATCGGAAAGCTAAGGATTGACTTTCTTCTCTCACGTTACCAAATCATTCGTGCCGTCAATCGCTTCCGACTGAGCTCCCAACATTGATTCAGATTGTGAAAATTTGTCGGTAGGGAAAAATCAGGTTAAAACCGGGCTAAAAATTGTGTAGTGTAGGCACAGCTTAAGCCATTTTAAACAACTGACGTCCTCCTGCTACTACACTCAATACTGGTTTAAAAATTACCTTGTACCGCAAGAAGTTGCTCCTCTGTAGTCCAACGTGTATTAAACTTCTGACTGACCTAGAAAAACAGCATGCTCGTATTAGACGGAACATCTGCTCAGTACACAGAAGTGCTAGCAAAAAACCTGAACAAAAAATTGCACTGAATTATTGTATGAAGTGGGCAATACGAAAATATTTTGTCATTGTGATAAATTTTGTTACTGTGATAAACAATAACACTGTTCTGAGCATTCTTAAAGAAAAACAATCAGCTGCATATTTCATTACAAAGAGAGCATAATTAGCCCTGTTTAGTGCAGCGCAGTATGTGCAATAGTGAATAAAAATGACTGTAATCAAATTTTTAAATTAAGCTCTACTGGCACATTGTGTCCGTGTCAAAATATTGTGATATGTATTGTGTATCATAAAAATGTCTTTAAGTACTGTGATATAATATTTGTGCCGCATTGTGCCCCTTCTCTATGCTCCAGCATCTTGTGTACAACTATTACTTTTTGACTTCAAGGAGCAAAGAAACACGATCTTTAAATTCACTTAGAAAATCTTCAATAAGAGAAATCTAAAAACAGGCCAGCGTGATTACCTCAGGAGGCCGGAACTCCTCCACTCCTGTATCCAGCATCTCTCTCAGTGCACTGTTGCTTTGTTTAATGCTCTGGATCTGCAAGTTTCATATTTCAACACTTAGCACACTGTCATTTTTATACAATAACTTCCAAACTAAAATACTTATTATCAAAACCCATCATCATTAGGAGGTCAGAACCAGGGAGATAATCCTCAACCAAAACTAATGAGACAGTTCTAACCTGTCGTTTAGTAGCGACGAGCTCCATGTCCAGCTGCCTCAGTATGCTGGTTGCGGCAGAGCCGCTGCTCGACATTGCAGTCACGTCACTCTGGTTTAGGTGCATGCCTTTGGGTGGCTTCCTTTTTGCCCTGTGGAGGTTCCGTCCAATCAGACCCTGTGCCTCTTTCTTCACATGTGCCGGCTTTTCTGTAAGACCTGTTGGCTAAAAAGGGGTTTGAATAATGTCAATATCAATAAGCTGCTAGTTTGTACGCATCTTGGCTAAAAAGACACCCCACTGTGATTTTGCCTATCATTGGGGAAAAAAAAGCCTACTGGAGGTGTGAAAAAAGGTCTTGAAAATTGGCTTATGAAAAAAGACAACACTACATGATGGCTTTCTAAAGCCACAGCAATACATCAACCTTTCTATGCACCTTCCTACAGCCAGTTTTTCTGTGATGGATAGAAGCAGTTGTGAAATCTTTATAATTTAGTAACCATGCTTATATGACTGTGATGATAATAATAACAATAACATTATTATTATTATTATTATCAACAACAATAATAACAACAACAACGATAACAATAATGACAACAGCAGCAACAACAAAACTGTATTTATAGAGCATTTTACATACACAAAGCAGCTCAAAAGTAAAACGGAGAAATAAAAGCAGAAACACACAACAGAAAAATAAAAGGGAAAAAGAAAATAAAATGATGAAACGAAACGCAAAAAAATGAATTACAATAATCGTTTTTAAAAAAAGGTAAATTTAAAAGGTATGGTTTTAAATCTTAAGCTTAGAAAATGTACTAAAATTGATTGCCAATTTCATATTCCCAAAGTTTCCCAGTTTAAAAGCATAAAAACAAAATGTGGCCTCTCCACGCTTTCTGTGATTTATACAGGATGTTTGGAGACAGCTAAAATGTGCCAATCTAAGATGACGTGTTTTCACATAAACAGATGGACATTAGGTGAGGTACACAGGTGCTAGGCCATTAGGAGCCTTAAAAAACAATAAAAATGTTACAATCCATCATAAAAGATACAGGTAGCCAGTGCTGATCTTTAAAAACATGGGTGATAGCTGCTGTCTTTTTTGTTTCGTAAGTATCTGTACTGCTGCGTTTCAGAGTAGAAACGCATCTATTGTTTGTAATATAAAGGAAATAATGTGAATTTTCATGTCCAACAGGCAAGGTATCTAAGCCATGGATTCATTAAAATTGGTACTGATAGCTTAGCAACAACTACAGGTTTTAAACAGCAATCATGTTTTATATCCAGGAGACACTGGGAAAAATAAGGTTTACCACTATGCTCACTTTGGCAATAAACACATATCTGTCCAAAGACTCACAGGCAGGATCAGAGGTAGAAGAAACAGAGAAATGTGTACAGAGTCTCAAATTCAATTCCCAGAAAAAAGAAGTCAAAGAACAAGAAGTAAATGATAAATGGTTCCAGTTTATTTTCTCCCTTTCAATAGAAAAACAACCCAAAATACAGCTAAAGAAAAAAAGCCCAATTAACCAGATGATCAAACCATGCAGCACACTACGTGTTTATGACTCCTACAGACAAACAGTACACTTTATGTACATTATGTAGTTATGAGAGTGCAAAACTAGTGTGGGCCCATATAAGGACCCTCAGGGCTTGAGGGGATAAGAAGAAATGAAGTAAACTCAAATTTACCTCTTTTTTCTCCTCCTTGTTCAGCTCCAATTCCGCATCACCTGGGGAGGTGCAGCTTGTCTCATCAGCCTCATCGTCACTACAACCAAAAAAAGTTTCTTTTTGTTTTTTTTAAACATTGTAAAATGTTCTATGAAATGTCACCATGCTCTCAAAATACATTTATTTAAAGAAAAACTAAAACCCGACAAAAACAGGTGTAAGACTGAAAACTGACAAATAATCAAAACATAATATTAACACATCTATCAATCAATAAGATGCCCTGCCTGGATAATGGGTTTATATGAATGGTTATGAATGGCTAACCTCTCCTCACGATCTCTCTTTTGTTTGCGTGCGTGCCGGTCCATGACACTGGTTTTACTGCGTGTTTTCTTCCATGAGTAATAGAATCTAACCAGGCTTGCAATAGATTTGTCTGGAAGCTGGTCAAAGAGAAAAAAAAAACATTTACACATTCAAGTGCTATAGGACCACCGAACATGCCAACGTTATGCACGGTTTTTATGGTACGTTGCAGATGCATGCATAAACTCATTCTAATATGAAAATAGTACCATACAAGATTCAAATAATAAATAAACTTTCCTGATGCGTCCACAATGTTGGAGAGGTGTAGGCAATTGCTGTGTATTATGTAGCTTTAAATTAAACATGTATAACATCTAGAATGAAGTTATGATAAAATTAACATCCAGAATGCCTCCCATTGGAAAAGTGACCAAATCTCAAGGTTGTTTACTTACCTTTTGTTAAACAACTATAAACAGACTAATAGAAATTACAGTATAAGGGCTCATATCTTGGAAAAACTAATTTCACTCACTTTAAATAATACAGTTTGATCATTGTTAAAGTTTCAAAACACACCATTTACTCCACAGTCCTTACAGTCCATCTATGACAACTATAGTGCTAAAACAGCCTGAAGCCTTTTGAATTCATTCTTTCTGTGATGTCATGAAAATCAGCACATTTAAACATACCTGTCTACTGAACCTATAGCAGTTTAGCCCCACCCATTCACACTGACAATATAAGGTATGTTTCAGCCTGGGTTGCTTTTTATAATAAGGCACAATACAGGGCAGCTAATCAAAACACAAGTCATTTACATATATCAGTATTATTATAGGCACAGTAATAAAACAGCTTGTTTAATTCTAAGGGATAAAGAAATATTGACCTCCTGATGTTTATATATTTTATATAGTTTAAATTTGAATCAACACTGTACTGAATAAAATAAGTCATTAATGGTAAATGTTAGTTTATCCTTCACCTAGATTTGCTAACTTGGTTTACAATGGTAAAACAGTGTGTACTAGTGTAATTTCATCTGCATGATGCCAACTGGCTTCTACTGCGTTTCATTCATGATAGCATTTTTATGCAAAATTTTCCTTTGAAGTCAGTTCTATGGTCATTTTCAATATGTCAGTGATTTGAATTTTAACAGATCCCCTGGCTGGACAGCCATGTAAGGACATCCAGGAAACTTCCTTTTTTCCAAAATGTGTAATGCTATATCAGTGCCTCGTGGCTCACCATCTGTTGTATGCGGTGGAAAGTCTTGCCATGAAAGCTGAAACCCTGTTCAAATAGCACTTTGTCCTCCACTGTCCACTCATCTGGGAAAGGGGTGAAGTTGGGCAGGTCTGCCAAAGACTTTTCTATGTTGTGCTTGTGCCAGAAGAGCATGCCCAATGCCTGTAAAAGAGAAACAGCATCATAATATGAGTATAGCTATATTTATACATTATTACAGTCTGTTACAAGAAAACAGTATATATACACACTTACCATCCACTTTATTAAAAATCATGTACCACAAAGTGGCCACTTTATAAGGCCTGCCTACCTACCTTACAGGTGCGCTACACAGATGTACAATAATAGACTGCAGCTCAGCACAGAAAACAATGATTTATAAATCTACTTTGACCTATATTTGAACAAAAACAGTACAAAGACACTTAAAAGTTTATCCTCATGTTTATTTTATTTTTATCTTAACTTCACTGTAACCAGTACATCTGTGAAATAACCATTAACACAGAACACATTTTGGAGCAAGATATATGCCTTCTAGATGATGTCTTTTTCAGGAATGTTCATGCATATTGCAACATGACGCCAAGCCTCTTTCTGCACGTGTTACAACAGCATGACTGCGTAATCAGCGAGTGCCGGTGCTAGACTGGCCTGGCTGCAATCCAGAACTGTCTCCTATTATTAAGCTCAAAATACAACAACAAAGGCCCTGTACAGCTGCAGGCTTGTATAACTAACAAAAGGCAAAAAATACGCTTTTAAAGCTGAATTAATTGATGCCATCTGTCCCCAAATGATTAATAAGTGCCATCAAAAGGGAGGTGATGTGACAAGTGTGTGACATGTGTTGCAAATTTGGAATGAGCATATATTAAAAAAAAACTTCATAAGGTAAAATATCAAATACTATGTTTTTGTGTTTTCAATTGAATACAAGTCAAACAGGATTTACTTATCACTGCTTTCTATTTTTATTCGCATTTTACATACCGTTCCAACTTTTTTGGAATTGGCTTTGTTTTATTGGGGTGGTGGATCATTCATAACAAAGACACATATCAGAGACACCGACCTGGTAGTGTCATGGTAGTGTGTGGGATGCTGGAGTGTATCAGGGACAGCAGACACTGACTGTATGGGTGGTCAGTAACTGACCACTTATGAAGGTCTGAGAGACAACTAATAAACTGTGCATCAACAGATCTCTAACTGTGCACCAGCAAGTAGGCGTTTCAAATAAAGTGCCTGGTGAGTGCATAAAATATTCATTAGGTAATCAAATCTGAAGCAAAGCGTGTCATTAATCCCAATCAGAATAGCCCAATATACTAGATAAAAAAAGCCATATTAATTTTACCTGCTCCATATTGTACCCATGTTTCTCTTTGGCTATTGCAATATACTCGTCCACTGAAAGAAAAACAAGATTCAAAAACAATCAGTAAAAACACCAAAACATCAGTCCTACATGAAACAGGTGACAATTTATTAGCAATAGTGTTTACTTTAAACCAGTGCCAGTTTTGATCACTGATTAATAGCTCTTCATACTATTCTCTACAAAGGATTACAGCCTTTAATATAAAGACACATTCACATAATAAAAATAGCTCATTTTGAAGCTTTAAAAAACAAATATAAAACAAAATATAACAAATATCAGTATTGGAAAAGTGTTCATTTTAAGGCTTAGTTTCGGTATCGGATGATACACAAGGTTTCAGTCTTAGTACTGAAAAAGAAGAAAGTTCCATCTCAAATTCAACATATACATTCTCATAAGTAACCCACATTTTGCCTCTGCCAAGTTCTGGTTAGGAATCCACACCAACATTCCCAGGTTCTCCCTCTCCTGGCTTGCTTTTGCTACTTCTGATAAAGAAACAGGCACAATGATTACTCGACAAACCCAAAGTAATCCATAATTTTCTACAACATTATGCACGCTAAGGTCACTATATCAGATTAGTGGTGCTTATTTTCCAAGGCACAGCAGCACTCAGAGGAAGGACAAGTATGCTACACCATGCAGTTGCTAGGGGATCAAAAGCCCTTGGCTTTTTTAGTGATTTGAATGGGTTTCAACCTACATTAAACGAGTACTTCTTCACTAAGTAACAAAAATGTAACTGACATACAATCATTTCTAATGAACTCCCTCGTCGTAGAAGCCTTGGAAGTTACGCTGAGACCTTAACCATCTAAATATCCACTTCTAAATATGAACATCTCTAGGTCGAACTTCAACTGCCCAAATTAGGTACGTCAAAATATGCTAGTGACTCACTGAAGGCAAAACTTCTCCTTTTTGTTTTAATCACTAATTCACTGTTGCAGTAATACACACACATATTCAGGACGATTTAGGTCCATATCAGAGCACATTAAACGAATGGAATTAAGAAACAACCAGGATCTTGTGTCTTTTGATGCTGATCTAACTGCAGAAACTATTTAAACAACGGGCTGTGTTTGAGGCTATTACGATGAGGAACCTGTTCTATCATTAGAGCTCAGAAAACTGAATTTCCACGCACCGGGGTCATAATCCGGCACGACTGCCTGGTACTGCGGACCCACTCGCATCCCGCCTGCACCTTTTAACAAGCCAAAAAGAAGAAGAGGCACACATATTAAAACCAACAGAAGTGTGAGAAGTTATCGCGAATGACCGAGGCTACCACCGCCACTTACCATGCTCGTCATCACTTGAGGAGCCCGAACTTCCTTCCTCCCAAGAATTGTTACTGTTCCCGTTTGAAGTAAAACTTTTGGTCGGGTTATTCACCGAGTTTCGGCCTCTCCTCTTGCCAGATATCTCGGTGGTGCCCTTTTCTAACATCGCGGGCATCTCGAAAAAGAGAGCCGAGGAACTTTAGCGGCGGCGGAATCACGCAGTCCTGCTTGCTAGCTGCTAGCGCAGCCGGCCACAGATGCTCTGATGGCTAATTTGCGGCTAAGGGCCTCCGCTGTAAAACTCCGAATATGAATATGAACTTAGCGTACAAGTTTCCTCAAAGTGGACTTAAACCAGCCGGACGCGAGCTACAACTGCTGAGGAAAGATGGAGTCTGCAGGGTTGTTAGCTGAACCGAGCACGCTAGCTAGCTGAGTGAGCAGGATACTCGGACGTAACACTCGGATGGAAGTAAACGGATTAGCTAGCCGGCTAACTGTTAGCTCCCCGTAACATCACACATACACCCAAGCTGCATCGATAGCCTGCTAGCTAGCAAAAATAGCATTAGCTGGCATTAGTTTCTCATATCGTCCAAAAAATGAATTCGAACATTTCCAGACAGTATCGAGAAACGACTGCTCTCCGTCCGCCCGGGCGTGCAAGTCAAACCTGAGGAAAGAAACGGTTTAACCTCAAACGCAACTCTATAGAAGTGTTGATGAGATGCGGAGGGAACTTCTCTCCACTTCCACACACGGTACTTCAGCCAGGCCTGGACACACACCACTGTGAATGGGCTGAAAGAACACGTTTACTCAGAGAGTCGGCCCGCTGATGTTAATCTGAGAGGGCAACGTGAGGGGGGATGGAGAGGGAGAGAGAGAGAGGACGATAATAACCTCGGACTCCCCGTATTAGATTTAGGAATAACTTCTACACGACAAAAAGGAAAAAAGAAAGGTCATGACTAAAAGCAGCATTCCATGGACAAGCTAACTGCAAAGTAGAAAGTAAACGCCAAAGCACTACTGAGCAAAAATGCCTTACAACATAACGCTAAAAAATAAACCTTAAAATAACAAAACAAGCAGATATGAGCAGTGACTGACAACAGCACAAGACCTTCTGACCCGAATAATGCTCCAGAGGGAAAATATTTGAAAAAAAAAAACCTAAAAGAGGAATTTATTATATATGAACATGTAATGTATGTTCATAAAGTTTGACATCGTGTATATCTATTTAATGTTTAATATATGTTTAAAACTATTTTAAGCAGGTAACTTGTAAAATTGTGCTATGAAGGCAGATTATTTATAGTCTGTTTCAAGTATATTTCGCCCCTTTTATGAGAACCTTTAAAAAGTAGACCTGCTGAACAGACAATTTTTTTCATATTTACTGTGGATTTCCAATTCAATCCAATATAAATTTCAAAAGGATATGGAATGTCCAATAAGATTCCCATAGGATGTTCAGTAGGACCCCTATAGGATTGGTTCAAAAATATGATAGAAATCCTAGCTATAACATTCTTATATGATTTTTCTAATTACATTTTATAGGGGTAACCATTTAGAATGATTTACTTGGTCATATTACACTTGTTTGTTTATTTGTTCTTCCTATGGTTGCCTCTTTATGATTGTTGTAATTTGGCATGTGGTCCATTGTGTCAAAACAGACCTCTTTAATTGACTGTTGTTCAACAGCAGTTCTCCAGAGTGGTTCATTTTGGAGAGGTGGATTTCATGTCAAGCTTCATCTTCCACTTTGTTCTGCACTTAAGGATTTCATCTTGAAATGCAAGTGATCATGTGTATAAATTTTTAAATGGGAGATGTTGGTAAAAATTATGCTATGAAGACAGAACGCATTTCTTTTGTGGTACACAAGCCTTAATGACATATTTAGTCAGTTTAAGAATAATTCACCCCTTTGGTGACAACTTAGGATTCCAAATAAGATTCCTGTTGGATTGGTCCTGAAATATGTTTAGAATCATATATCCTATAGGGTTTTCTGACCACATATCTCCAGCTGACTGTCGTTCAGCATCAGGAGTGGTGTCATGTTGGAGAGGTGTATTTCGTGTCAAGCTTTGTCTTCCTCTTGGAATGCAAGAGATCCTTTGTGTAGTGGTGAGGAGTGTCCCAACGGTCTTTTCTCTTCAGCGCTCAAGCCAGCTGGATCAAAGATATTTGCAGTCATCATAAGTGGTCATTTTCTGATGTCAGTCCCGCCAATCAGCTGATTCAGCTTGTCCACCATATCCATGGCCTAACTTCACACAATATATGCTTGATCTTCACAGAAAATCCCTCCTTCTGAATCCACTTCTTGACTTCATCTTCTTTCAAAGCCAGAACCCATGACCACAGTCCGATGGTCATACCATATGTTTAGCACCGCCTTTCTGTCCATCTCTTTCTGACCTTGTCATTGTTCCCTCTCTTATGAATGTTCCTAGCTGTAAACAACTGAAAGTTATCAAGGAAGATTTCCACCTAAAGGGTTTTGGGTATAAGGCTACTGTCATCTGCACTTCATGTAGATTTTTTGCACTGATGCCTTTGCACTGTATGTACATATAAAACTGTAACATGTCTATTTATTATGTGTACACAGTGTCCAGTGTATTTTGCTATTTTATGCTCTTGAAAAAACAATGATTCCAAAATGTATTTTTGGCTTGGATATGTGGGTCTAGCATAAAACTTTAAACAGTGTAGAATCTTTACATAATGTGGACATTCTTAAAAACTTAAAATGTTCCTTACATTTGCACATCTCATTACAAAAATGGTTCCATGGAAAGGTCTTCTATGGAACTGAAAGCAGTTCTATCATATGGTACCACTCCCAAGCTTTTTTAAGAGCGTATTACCCAAATTTGTCCTCAACCACCACTGTATGAAAATATCTACAATAGACAGCCAAAAGTACGTAGACACTTAAACATCACATCCATACAAGCTTGCTGAACATCTCATTCCAACATCATGGGCATTAATACAGAGTTGCCCCCCCCCCACCCCTTGCTGCTCTAACAGTCTTTTGGAAAGGTTTTGGAACATGACTAAAGGGGTTCGCTCCCATTCAGCCACGAGCATTAATGAGGTCGGGCACGGATGTTGGCCAATAGGGCTTGGCTCGCAGTTGGTGTTCCAGTTCATCCCAAATGTTGGGCTTGAGGTCAAGGCTCTCTGAAGGCCAGTCAATTTCCTCCACTAAACTTGGCAAACTTTTTTTTTTATCTCATTTTGTGAAAGTGGACATTGTGATGCTAAAACAGGAAAGGGCATTCCCCACACTATTTCCAAAAAATTAGAAGCAGATAATTGTCTAGAATGTCATTGTATATTGTATCATTAAGATTTCCCTTCACTAGAATTATTAACAATAAATGTAATGATTATTGAAAATTGATGTATTTTATTATCATGCTTCAGAACACCCCTTAACGGTGGTAAAATCACTGCAACACATGGCATCTCATGGTTTATTGCTTTCAAACATCCATTTGACAGTAATATTTTGCTAGTTAACTAAATATTGCTGTCAAAGGGACAACAAGATAAACTTATTTTAAGACTACTGTAAATAATTTGAATGTTTGTAGTACTAAAAATTGACTAGGTGAAAAAAAAAACATCAGTTTGTCTTATGAGAACTTATGAGACCTAAACTGACTTACAGTATGGGGCAAAAATCTAAGGCAGTTATTAAAATTGTTTAAAACTGTTTATCTCAGCAGTAAGGGTCTTTCCAGTAAAAACTATGGAAACACATTCCTGCCAGGAATGAAGAAAGAAATGCCTATATATGAAGTCATATGGAAAAGTTTGGGCACCCCTTGTCAAATGACAACTTCTGCACATTGTAATGCACAGTTACTGTTTTTTGCTGAATGTAACATTTTGGAAAAAATATACCATGAAATGTTACATATGGAAAGGTTATAGCACATTTATTATGTTATGCTTTGTTTTTGTTCCAATATATTTAACTCAATTAAATTTGCAGAAAAGCCATATTTATGTTTGTTGTCTGTAAAGGATGTGTTACTTATTTTCACTTAGAAACTCAACATAAATGTCATTTGACTAGGAGCAGCCACACTTATGCAAACCACTGTATATATATTTTTTTCTCTGTTTCTTTTGGAGTTTGGAGAGGCCATGAGGTGGCTATAATTTTCTGGATTGTTATCTTGAGATCTCAAGATAATTAAGTCATGATCTTAAGATAACAACTTTTCTTGAGATCACCACTTTGTTATCTCGAGATCATCAGATAATTAAGTCACAAAATAACAACCTACCTCATGGCCTCTCTGGACTTAGTATCTTGAAAATATTTTATAAATATTTTAGACTTATTTTCTCAAAATATTGACTTAATATATTGAAATAGTGACTATGTTCTTGAAATATTGACTTAATATCTCAAAAAAATAACTAGAGCAGTGACTAAACCTGTTGTTGCAACATGGCGTGCTAAGAGTACCCAGCCCAGTTTAATTGCTTGATCCTTCTCTCACCCTCCAGATAACTGATGCGTCATCATGGCACACACTGGCTTCTGTCACATCATTGATGTGGGTGTTCCACAGAGAGATTCAGTTTCATGCAAAAATATTTTGCATGCCATAGAAAGCCCTATTTCCTGTAAATGCAGTGACACATTACTTTAATCTTTCACGTATGTCAAACCACATTATTGTTTTATAAGATACAAAATATTTTGCTTTTGTTTTGTGCTGGATTAGCATTTTGAAGGCAAGGTGGTGCAACTGTGTATGTATATTTTGAATCAGTCTTGCATTATATAGCACGCAGAGAAAGATCTGTTATTGGAATTATCAGTAACAGTCTGGAAGTCATTAAAGTAATTAAGATATGTTTATCTGTTTGTTGACAAGCATGTTAACTTTTTCAGAACTTTTTTTTTTTTTACAGAAACACAAAGTAGATAAAATTTAAACAAAAGCAGTACAAAAACAAAGCAATTCATATTTTACCTTATCAACTTCATTGTTTTTAGTAAATATATGCTTATTCTGAAATTGGTGCCTACAACACATTCTAAAAAGCTGACACAAGGTCAATTTAAGACTAGAAACATTGTTAATTGTTAAGAAAATATTTTAAAAGAGGTGATGTAATCATGCTTGGGTATGAAGGGAAATATCCAAAAATGGCCAAGTCCTTTATGAACGAGGATGGGTTGAGGCATGCCACTTTGCCAAAAAGTGCATCAGCAAACGTGACCTTCGATCCCTCAGATAGCACCGCATTTAAAACCAGCCTGTTATTAAAGACCAGCCTGTTTATCTCCTACTGAAAATGTATGGTGCATTATAAAGTGCTAAATCAATCAGTGTATTGAAATTTAGTTCAGCCTATTGACATTAGCATTTGCAAGATGAGCTGAAGACTGGAAAAACGTAGCCTGGTCTGCACTATTAGAAATAAAGGTACTGTGTAGGTACATTTTTTGTTCATCAAGGTACAAACAATGTAACTCGAAGGTACAACAGTGGTTTTAAGGTTCTTTTGTATACCTTAAATATGTTTTTCCTAGTGGAAAAGTATATATTTGTACCCTTTCATAACCCAGTGTTTCAAAACAAAACAATAAAATAAAAAGCCTGGTGTGTGGAGTCAATACAATTTAGAAAACATCATTTCAATGGATTATGGCACAATTCTGTTCCCTAACTAGAAGTACTGAGATGTGCCCTTGAGGGAACCACCCCAGTGACAGTTTAGTACCTTTTTTTCTGAGAGTGTGATGAATTTCGATTTCGAGGGTCAGAATTTGGCACCAGCAGCATGAATCCATAGATTCTATGGGCCCGTTA